TAATTGCACCGTGTTCCAGGCGCTTTCACTATGGCAGTGAACCAGCCTAGCTTTTTCAAGCCTTACGTGCCCTCCCGAAATATGAAATCCGAAACACGCACGGTGCTGAGGCGTATGCTAGCAGCGTACCGCGTGGAACACGCTTCAGGAGAAGCCTGGACGTCCGTAACGAGTGCCGGCCGGTGGCGGCAGAGTGGCTCTCACGGGTGTCAGCACAGCCGCCTAACACGCCGGGCGGCCCACCCCACACGAGTCTCTTTAATGCTGTCTTTATCTGCCCCACGATGCATGAAATCTACTTTCTGTTTTAGAACTGCTGGCAACCTTTGACCCCTTGAGTGGAGACACAATGTGACCTTTCTATTGTCATCGGCTTTCATTCTCCTGAAAATTCTATGAATTTTTATTACAAGTTTTTTTTTAAGCCAAGCGGAGGCTTCAACAAATGACTCGACGCAGATGAGATGAAGTTGTCGAAGGGGTGTTAGATAAGTTTACGGCCCGCGCACAGCGCCAGGGAGGCCAGGCCCGGGTGTCCTGCAATGTCACCCGCCAGTAACCGCCAAGCCTGCTATTGGATAAATACATCATTTTATGGAACATTGATTGTTCTATAAACCCAATGGAGTATTATGCTCTATGATCAAACCATTTAGATTGTGTGTAGAGCACAGAAAATGCCATATTCAGGATGGTACTAAAAGTGCCATTTGTGTATTTTATGGATGTCATTACAGAGGAAACTTCTCTCTGTAGGCCCTGTTTACTGCAAAATTTTTTAGTCTGTAATGACATTTTTCATTCACAACGTATGCCTTCAAGAGAGGGGCCTTGTTTTATTTGTTTCATTCGAGTTTACTGCACAAATTCTGTACATTTTAATTAAATGTAAGCTTAACAAAAGCGTAAGGTATTTATTCTGTGGGAAGAAACGATGGCAGTAAAGGAAGAATAACACGCAGAAAGGGCGCAGTCAGGGGCCGGAGCCCGTTTGCAGCTTCCCAGAAGCGCCGCGGACAGCAGACAGAGCCATTCGCTCGGTTTGGGGGCGTCGTCTGCAGCTTCACCCCTGCACGCCTGCAGGCCCGCGTCTGCATTCTTCAGCCTTGGAGATGGTCTCATCCAAAAGGACAAGAAAGACGGAAACGCGCTTCACGGTGACCTTCGGGAGAAATCATCCCCCCAGAGCGAGCTCCCCGCCCTCCGAAGCCTGCCCATCTCAGCCGGGTGGTCGGCACCCGTGGCTTCGAGAAGGCCGTGCAGTGGCTCTGTGCTCAGGAGAGCAGTGCTCAGAGGCAGGGGCTGCATTTTCACGTCGTCTGCTCCTTCTGCACAAAGCCACTCCTTGTCCTAGTGGAAACAGATGCCGAAGAGCCTGCCTTAGACACGCTCTCTGATCAGCCACTGCTCTCGCGCCGAAATCCGACGTCGTCTTTGCAGACTGGAAAGCGCGGTACAAACGCTGTGCCGGGCGTCCTGCTCCGTGAGAGCCGCTGCGGCTTTGGGGCCGCGAGGGGCCCGAGCTGGGCGAACACCTGCACGGACTCCCGCTAACCCAGGGCCCGGCCCCTTCGGCCCTTCGCACCGGGGCGCTTTACAGTTCATGTTTACCAGAAAGACCTCAAAAATGGAAGTTGACGTGCCCAGTAAATCCTTGGCCATAGCACAGTTAGAATTTAAAGTTACAGCAGCGACTCACATTAGTTTAAATGACACTTGAACTTCTGCATAGCTCTACATTAATTCATTATGGTCCAAATGGAAGAATCTTCAGCGGGTGAATCTTTTTCAATCTGATTGAGGCTGTTACATTTTATAGGTGCCATTTTTCAAAGCAGTACTGACAGCACTCGAAGTTATTAAATTGCTGAATGAAAAGATGGACCTGCACTCGCATTTATGAACTGTGATGGAGCGGCTCGGCTCCCCGAGCCGAGGTTAAGATGTTGCTGGTGACAAGCTTCGTCACACCCTGTAGTGACAGCAGTATTTACCCATGTAGTTTACTTTAATGGTCTGGAAGTGGCTTAACCCACCTCCAGACTCAAATAAATTCAGTAAGTAGTTCAGAGCAGCGTAATTATCCGCGCTGCAAGGGATTCAGGGGGTAATTCTGCACCCCAGAGACTGTCCAGCTGCAGAGCGCGGACGGGCGTGCTGGACTCGGCACGCAGCGTTTCTCTCAGGGACGGGAGCTGTGCTTTCCCGGCCACCGTGGTCCCTCCTGTTTTTCGATGTAAAGGCAGGATGTTCTCTTCTGTGATCAGCTGGGGAGGGGATGATTTGAAGTCTGTCTTCTTTACTTTCGTGGCCATATTCCTTTTTTTTTTTTCCATACTCTAAATGAGACTGAAAATGACCTTGAAATTCAATCAGGTTCAGGGTGTAGGAAAGACAGAAGGGACAGAAACAAGCTGCATCAGGCTCCGAGGGGAAGGACAGCAGGTGACTGCCACCCCCAGGCGGAGAAGGACGGGGCGGGAACAGCAGAGTGGGCCCGGCGCGTCCCACAGACAGCGATCTAGGGGTCCGACGGATGGCACGCTGACCCCAGATGGCCACATTCACGCCCCCAGCGAGACCCCGGGCACGTGAGAGGGCGTGGACGTGGGCGCCTGCCAGGCCTCCTGCCCCGTGCCAACCGGCCCTTCCACCTCCCCGGGGAGAGGGTTCAGGGCAGTCGGAGCTGAGGACGTAACCGTGAGATGAGGCTCGAGCACCCAGACCGTGCTTCCGCCCTTCTTTCCAGGGCCCCTGATCTCCTAGATGAACTTTATCCTTCCCGAGGGGCTGCGTTTCTCCCGTGACACAGGAGAAAGGCGGGCAGGGGACAGCGCCACGTGCCACGTCCTGGGGGTCGGTGGGAAGCCCTGCCCTGGTCCCCGCGAAGCTCTCATATGCCCGCGTGGCCTCGGGAAGTCTGCAGTGCCTGTGGGGTGGAGCCCACGCGGGCCAGGGAGCCCCAGGTGGCCAGCGGTCGTGGTCCCCGGTCCCCATGCTGTGAGGGGCAGACGAGAGAAGGCAGAGATGCACTAGAGCCCGGTGAGCTGCCTGGCACAGGCGTGAGCGCCTCCGCCCCCCGGGGAGGCTCCCAGTCGCCGTTCCGACGTGGCGGCTTACTTCCGCCTGGCTGGCGAGGGCATGGCCAGGCCTGGGTCGCCTGCCACTGTCCGTCCAGCCCCAAGTGGCACCCACTGGTCCTAGGATTCGGCGGTCACTGAATGTGTAAGCGGGGGGCTCTGCTGCTGGAGACCATCCTGGTCGACCTCACGGGTCGTTCCCCGACCTCAGAGTCTGTGACTTCACGATCTTTCCAAGGCTCGTGCAGCAGAGAGGTCTCGGAGAGAGAATAGTGTCAATCGGTAGTAGTCTCTGTTTTCAAACGTGGGTGATTCCCCCAGTTTACTCCCTCGCGGGCATCAGCCTCGGGGGCTGAAAGGACAAGGTACAGAAAGTGGGTCCCCAGGACTCGGCTCTGAGCTCCACCCCTGCCGGCCAGTGCCACGGGGAGACCCTCTGCGCTCTGCCCCTTCTGGGGGGGTGGCTCCCTCTGCTGGCCAGCTAGGGACGCCGCGGCGGGGCGACTCCTATTAACCCTGGCTGCCCGGCCAGCCGGTGGGTCCGGAACGGGACCAGGCCAGGAGCACCTGTGAGCAGGCGAAGCGGGGGGTGGCCAGGAGCTCACGGGCTCAGCACTCAGGGTGCCGGGCCAGACCAGGGCCACTGCCGGGGTGCGGTGTGAACTTGGACGTGTCCCCTCGGCGAACGCCGGTTAGCCGCTTCTGGGGGTCCCGCCCGGGGTACGGCACCGCGGGCGGGGGGTGCTCGCTGGGGTCTGTGGACTCCGTGTTGAGAAACGCTTTCTTACAGAGCGGCCCCGGCATGGCAGGCGGACCGTGTCGTCAGGGTTACTGGCAGTGCACGACCTGGCAACTCCGAAGCCTTCTCTGGCCCTCGGAGTGTGAGAGCTCGCTTTCTCAAAGGTGACCGCGTGAATGAGCGAAGGCAGCGTTTCAGACCCGTGGCTGCCGTTGCGACGTGGAGATAAGATGCTCGCCGACAGCACGCGTGCACACGCTCGCGGGCCTGGGGGAGGTGACGGGGAGACACCTGACAGAAGATTTGGGATTTAAAGAGGAAACTAGGCCCTGGTCAACGAGTCGGTCTCCTTTTTACGAAGGTTAAGGCTATCATTTTCTGTCACATTTCACCCCGTCAGGTCATTAAGCAGGCACGGAGGACGCTGGGGAGGCGGCGTGCCCCACACCCCCGCACCGCCGCCCTGCCGTCAGCGGCCTTGGCTCTGCTCTCACTGGCCTCCGGCAGCCAGGGCCTCCCTCTGTGACGCAGGGGACCTCCCACGCCTCCAGCCCCTCAGCTGTGGGACGGGCTTGAACCCCCGAGTCCCTCCACTTCCGGGCTGCTCGGCCCCACCGTGGCCCACGGCAGGGCAGGCGGCCGCCTTGTCGCTGAAATTTGGTGCCTGCGGCGTCTTGGTGCCCAAAGCCCTCCTGCAGCTGTGTCTGTCAGAGGCACATTTTAAAAATTTAGCATGCACGGCTTCGTTCTCTTGGCCAAATAAACAAATATACCATCTCTAACATTTGGACAGTAAACAGATATTTTCCTTTGGGTCAGAAGACGATGTCCCTGACTGCTACTGTCTTCCCTTGTCCCCGGTGACTGTCTTGTAGAAATCCTGATGGCGGCCGAGGGGAGCCCCAGCTTCTTCCCAGGCACGGGGAGAGCCGACAGCGGCCGATGAGGGTTGTGTTTGGACCGTCGTGCCAGGCGCTTGGAGAAACGCCTGCTGTGCCCCAGAGCCGCTCGCTTTCGAAGCAGCGGCACAGCTGTCCGGCCACGTGCGGCCAGCCTGTGACGGCGCCCGGCAGGGTCACAGCGAGGTTCCTGTCGAGGTCCGAAAGCGGCCGCACGAGGACGGCCTGAGTCTGACCGTAAAGTGCGTTTTCCTGGCTCTAACTGCTCCCTGTCTCCCACAGGCATTGTCTCCAAGTCCTACGAGTGCCGGCTGAAGGGCCAGGGTGCCACCTTCGTGGAGACGGACAGCCCCTTCACCGCGGCCGCGCTGGCAGAGGAGGCTCCCGTCAGGGACAGGCCCCCACGGGGCCGGAGGCCGGCGGCAGCCGAGCAGGTCCAACAGGTCATCATTGTGCAGGGCTACGACGGGGAGCTGGCACTGGGCGCCTCGCTGGAGGAGACGGCCGCGGCCACGCTGCAGACGCTGGCCCTGGCCGGCCAGGTGGCCCGGGTGGTGCACATCACGGAGGACGGGCAGGTCATCGCCACGAGTCCCAGCGGGCCGCCCGGGCCGGGCCTGCCAGAGCCGCTGGCGGACGCAGCCACCCAGGTGGTGGTGGTGGGCAGCTCGATGGAGGCCCACGGTGTGGCCGAGCCCCTCAGCCCAGGGGGCACCGTGGTCCAGCAGGGGACCAAGCAGGAGATCTTAGACCTCAGCGAGGCCGGCATCCCACAGCCAGACGCGGCCTCGGCCCTGGACGCCCTGCTGTGTGCCGTCACCGAGCTGGGGGCCGCAGGGGCTGGGGCCGGGCCTGACGAGAAGGGTAGCGCCGGCCACAAGGACGTGCTGGTCCAGCTGCCCGGCCCGGAGGCACCCCTCGCCGCTGCCCAGCCCGCGGGCCCCGAGGTCCACGTGCTGCAGGAGGCTGAGGACAGCCCAGCCGCCGTGGAGCCCGTGCAGGTGCTGACCCAGGTGGTCCGGCCCTCGGCCGCGGTCACCTCGCAGGAGCGTGCCCAGCTGGCCTTCAAGAAGGTGGTCCAGGGTGTCCTCCAGTTCGCTGTCTGTGACTCGGCCGCGGCCGGCCAGCTCATGAAGGAAGGTGTCACGCAGGTCATCGTGAACGAGGAGGGCACCGTGCACATGCTGGCCAGGGAAGGCTCGCAGATCATCATGCAGGAGGCGGAGGCCCACGGGCAGCACGTTGGGCTGGCCGAGCCGGATGGGGAGATCTCCCAGATCATTGTGACGGAGGAGCTGGTGCAGGCCATGGTCCAGGAGTCCAGCGCCAGCTTTCCTGAGGGCGCGACCCACTACATCGTGACTGAACTGCCCCCAGGCGTGCCGGACGAGACAGCCATGTACTCCCACACGGTCATAGAGACCGCGGACTCGCAGGAGCTGCTGCAGGCCGGGGCTGCGCTCAGCGCGGAGGCCATGGTCCCCGGTGGGACCGAACAGTTGACAAGTATGGTCATTTACACCCAGGAGGGCTCCCCGGCAGCCACAGTCATTCAGAGCCAAAGAGAGACTCACGAACTCCAGGAGGCCTGAGGCGGCAGTCCCATGCGTGGCACAGGGTGGACGCCGAGGGGTCCAGCCCCCACGGGCACGGCGTCCCCTGAACAGCAGTGACAGCAGTAGCTCTGAGGAGCAGCGCCTGTCGAAAGCTCATGGCCGCGGATGCGTCCGCAGAGGGACGGAGGGCTGCCGAGGGCCGGGCCGCAGGGCGCAGGCAGGCAGGGCCGGGCGAGCCAGGCCGCTCCCACCGGCCTCCTGTCCTCCGCCTCCCGCTGTGCCCCGTCCTGCCGGGTGCACCCGAGCTCCCTCTTCTGCTCATCCCCCACGGGTGCTTTCCCGTTCAGCGGTGACAGGCCCGGCCCGTGGGGGGCGGGGGGCGGTTAGCACAGTGCCTCTCGTGGCTTGAGACGCGTCTGCTCTCGCAGGCCAGCATGGAGCTGTTTAAATTTTATTATACATTTGGTTGAAAGTCGCAGCTGTGAGCGACCCACCCCTGTTCCTTTGAGTGTTAGGATCAGCGTCCCCAGACCAAAGGAAGCCTGTGCGTGCATCGCGTGCATCCGTCTGTCCTCTCTTCAGACGCGGCAGGCGACTTCACAGCTCTGGGCGCATTCTGCTTAGAGGAGCCCTTCCAAAGCCTGTGGTCGAGGAAAGCCTTGACGTTCACGTTCGGTTAGAATACACTTGGTTAAGACAGCCCGATGCTTCTAATTTTGGCTTAGTTCCCTACAATAAAGTATATGAAATGTGCACTCTAGAAAATACCGTTCATACCGCTATTTTGCTTTTTCTAACGAATGTTTGTTCATATCAATATTATATTCGCGGGACTTATTTTGTCATTTATGTCAGCGTGAACGACTGACGTTGAACGCCAAGGACAGGAAGCCACACGCCTGCGGCTCTGGCCCCGACCAGCACTGTCTGCGTGTGGCCGCGGCGTCGCTGCCACTTTGGAATGCAAGTTTACGTTCTACTAATTTGTTTCTTGATACGATTGCTGTTCTTCCTTTCCCGGGACTGTAAGATAATCTCCTCCCCCAACGCACAGTTTGTTTTTGTTTCGTTTCTACTTTCTTTGAAATAAAACTATAGCGTTAAACGAGAATGCCCACGTGTCCCTCCCCGCCGCCAGCCAGCGGGCAGCGCAGAACCCGGCGGCCTCGCCCTTCTGTCCAGCACACGCCCCACCCCCGCCGCCCGCTTGCAGGCCGTGCGGCGTCTGCAGCCTGCTGGCGCCGGTCCCCGGATGTTTGTCACACGGCCCAGGCAGATTCTGCTGACCGTGACGTGACGTATTTGATCATGGTGAGTATCTAAAAATTGTCAAGAACACACATGACAGAAAAGGAAGAGAAAACGGCACCTTTTCCTTCCTGGTTGGCATGAGAGGACCACTTGGACTGGCTCGCTGAGCGGGCAGCGTGGGAGCGAGGCTCCTGGAGCGGCCGAGCCCGCGGCCCGGCTCCCAGCCTCGGCCTCACAGCTCAGAGCCCCGTCCGCCCTGGGGCCACTCGCTCCCTTTAGACAGCCGCCCCTCCCCCCAAACGGAAGGTGAGACTTCACGTTTGACACCGAGATTCATAATGAGCTGAGTGTGTGACTCGCTCGCGCTTCTTAAAACGGGCGCCTCGTGGTTCTGGTCGCCACCGTCGTCAGCGGCGACGGGCCGAGCCCCCGTTGGTCATCGAGGTCCAGGTGACCTTTACAAAGCGATGCCCTCTGCAAGCTTCTCGCACACGTCAGAGGAAAGGGGGGGGGTGCTGTCCGTGGAAATGCTGCCTGCCGCTCACTCGCCCCGGCGGCTGTGCCCGCGGCCTGGGCCCAGAGGCGAACGCCCCGCCGCGCCGCGTCCTGTCCAGCTCACCTTTCTGCCACGCTGCGGTTTCCCGCGCGCGATTTATTTAGGATAAATATGTCTCGGGCGCATTTAATCCTTCATACAACCAGTGCAGCCTGCGGTGTGAGTCCAGCGATCACGTCGCACGCACGATGAAGACAGCAGGGCTTTGCATGAAAATCCTGTGCGGAAGGTGCCGAGACTCGAAAGGATCGCGGCGGCTTCCGAGCGCGGCCGCGCCCTGTAATTACTCCGCGCCCTGTCGTGACTGACGGAGCCGGGTTAACCCCGCCCCTCGCTCTCGTCACGTGACTGCGGGAGTGTGAGGGAGCCGACGGCGCATGCGCACGAGCCCGTGGCTGCAGCCGCGCGGCGCTCCGCGGTCGGGGCGCTGTTACTTCTGTACAGAAGACGTGGCCGCCTTATCGTTTTGGCTCGGGAACACACTAGAACCTTACAGAAGTGAAAAACACAGCGAGTGAAAGGTTTACTTGGAGCCCGCAGTCCAGAGGGGCCGCCTCTGCGTTAAGCTGCACCCCGGGGGATGGGTTGGCCCCAGGGCGTTTGGCGCTTCCGTCCCAGCGTCCACGCGGCAGGTGGCCGCCTCCGCCAGGCGCGGCAGAGAGCTGTGGAGATAGCAGTTCCCATGCAAAGGACGTTTAGCCACACACAGTCACTTTAATGACGCTGGGACGGTTGCCACAGGCCTCGCTGAGTTGGAGCAAACGGAGGGGGACACTGCAAAACACACCCCAAACCCGGGCGACAAACTCGCGTCGCCTGGTGAATGCGCAGAACATTCTATGCTGCCTGGTTTGCTTCCGAGACCCAGTGAAAGGTTAAGGTTGTGTCCGTGTAGCACGGACGGTCCCTCTGTCACGTACCAGCTCAGTCCAGAAATGCGAACCCAAAGCCCGGGAAGACAGACGGCGAGGGTCCTCAGCAGGTCTTACTCCGTCGCCCGACAGGTCTCGGGGGACGCCCTGGGACCCAGGCCTGCGCGCCCAGGCCAAACGGCACAGCTCCGACCCACCGCTGCCCGGTAGCGTGGCGTCCGGGAAGCTCCGTGCCGCGTGCACAGCGCGTGTCTCACGCCGGGCGAACTGTTTTCCCAAACATGAAGGCGGGATGGGGGCCTAAGGAAGGGACTGCAGGACCAGCTTAGACCCCTAACCCGGGGCGGGGCCTGGGGAGAGAACCCGCGAACGGCTAAGTCATTTATTTAGCAAACTAAGAAAGAGCTGGAAGTTTTCACCTGTGTTTCCGTTTAACGTTCGCCCATAGTTTAGGAGGGCGCTCAGCCCGCTGCAGCCCCCTCCTGCCCCATCTCCTGGGAGACTACGATCCGTTCCCTTCTCCTCTGGGGTGATATCATTTTACACGCAGAAAAAAGTTAGCTCAGATGGCAGTTATACGTTTCGGAAGCACCTTCTAATCAGGAATTGGTGATTCATTATTAGCTTCAGCAGGCGATCCATCTGACATGGAAGGGGGAAAAATTAGCAGCTGTCACTGCATGATGACTTAATTTCCTGATAGGCCTGACACTGAAAAGCCATTTGGAGACACGGCGATGGCTGATGAGAAAAGCTGGTGCTGCTTTATAATTGCAGAGAGAGGGCAGAGAAGCGGGCCGGAGGGGGCCAGGATCCACAAGTGGGGGCCGCAGCGTCTGGCCTGCCGGCCTGGTGAGCCGGCCGGGTCTCCCCTCACGGGCGCACCGCGGTGTCGGGGCGCACCCTCCGCCCTCGCCCCATGCCCGCCGTGGCCACACATGCGCCTGTGAGGTTGGATTGTGGCAGAGGTGCCTGACATCTTCACGGGAAGGCGAGAGCATGACACCCTCCTTCTGGTGGTCCCCTTGGCAATTTTCATAATTGGAGCTGAAGCTTTCAATCGTGGGATAATGTTTTATCACCGTAAAAAAGTAACCCCATGAAATAAATACGGGGAGGCCGAGGAGGAGGGCGTGGCGGTGCCGGACAGGCTTGGACAGCCTTGTCCTGCCCGAGGCGGGGCAGCGGGCGGCAGGCTGGGTGCGGGGGGAGGGTTGTCCTGCCCCCCGCATTTCTACAGGGCTCCCTCAGGGATTCCAGGTCCAGCCCAGCGAGCCGGACAAAAACACTGTTTTCAAATATCCAGAAGATAGGAATTAGAAACAGAGAGCCCGAGGTCTAAACCGACTTGCAGGTGTCGTGGGGTCTTACGGGCGGCACCTGACGGAGATGTCCCCTGTGGGCCGCAGCTGCCTGCACCGCAGCGTCTGACGTCCAGCGAAGTGCGGACTGAGCACGAGGGGCACAGAGGCGGTGCCGTGACCGCTGCACCTGTCTCAGGTCCCCGCCTGTAAACTCTGTGACTTAGGAATCTGACTCCTGAGAGGCAAGCAGGGTGTGAAGAACACTGTCCCTTCAAAGTCCCGTGGCCCGGAGCCCAGGTCAGGATGCTGGGCTCACTTCTCTCGGTCGGGCTCAAAGCATATGACGTCACCAACAGGCCCAGGACAGGCCTGGCCGAGAGAGGGACAGTCACGTATGGAAGCACGAGGTCACCAGAACTAAATAAATCCGTAATATATCTCTCAGTCAGTCATTTACTCACTCCGAGGCCCCGCATTCCCAGTGCCTTGTAATAAATTCTTTTGAAATGACCTAATTCCAGCGTGGCTCTCGACATCGAGACAAGATCACTCGGTAGACAGCACGTGGCCCAGTCCGTCGGCACCGTTTTCACGGCTCTGCAGACCAGCCCGTGCTCCTCTTCAAATGACTTTTTAAGTCGAGGGATAAAAACCGCACAGAGTGAAGGATCGTGTTTTAATTTCCAAACGGGGTCTGGTTTGGAGGTGAGGCGCTTCGCGAAGGCATGTCCGGGGCTGCCGGCCCGTCCAGTGGAGCCCACGTGTCCCCGGGTGGGGAGAGGGGTCCCGTCGTCCTCCGGCACCGCTGCCCCCCAGAGCCTCGCACGCCCTCTGAGCATCCCCACCCCTCTTAATGAGCTGGATCCCAAGGCTACGCCACCCCCTGCTCGCTCCCACCTTCGCCGCCGACGCCCTGCTTTAAGGAGACGGAGGACGTCCTGGCTTCAGAGCTGCTGTGAGGGGCCGTCACAGGACCTGGTCTCACAGCCACACCCAGGAGCCAGACCGTGTATCGCTGC